ATTGAATGCAGTTTGGACTGTGTCTCATTGATATTCATTTTTTTTATTGTTCGAGACATACAGATTGACTACCACCTACATCTCACCAGGTGACTAATCTACGTCTCGTGTGCTCTTAATTTTGTAGCTTTAAAGTGCTGGGAAAATTGTAGAACATATATTAATTCACTGCTGAACTGAACATCGGCTTTCGCGCACTTCGAACCACTCGCTGAAATTTGCTATGTTTTTTTTTTTTAATATTTCTCTACCTTTCTGATTTCAAAACAAAAAAAAAATGAAAGTGTTTACTTGCATCAACAATCGTTTCTGCACTTCGTTTAGACTTTGATGAGGTCAGCGCAATCCTCCAGGCACTACGTATACGCGCGCTGATGTCCAGGTCAAGTGGGGAGATGAAATTTGATAGTGGCTCGTGTATGTTAAAGCCGGTCTACTTCGCTTTTGTTAAGACCATGTTAGCGTTTTTTTTTGCAAACTACACATTTTGTTAAATCACGAGCACATTCGCCAAGACCAATGAGCAAAATAATCGCTATGATAGCTTAGAGACGCGCCATTTTGATGAAGGCAAACCCTGTGGTGAGCCTCCATGCAAATCTCTTGCTCAGCGGTCGCGCATGCTCATGCAAAAAAGACCCCTGTTTGCATCTACTACGAGTGAGCGAGTGACTCATTTGCATATCTCAGTCCCTGCAATAACTCGTGGTACGCTCGCGCGTACCCACGAGTTAAAAAAGGAACAAAGAAGTCAACAAAATAGAACCTAGGAAAACAAAAGGTAGGAAACAAAGAAAACGTTCACACGTTCTTACACCGAGGTTAAGTCCAAAATGCAGTTCCTTCCTAATATCAGAAACAATCAACTTCGAAGAACTGTGTTGTAGTTGGAAGAACAGATAGTTGCTATGGCAATGTTACGTGTCGTGAACAAGAATATCACTGGAAATGGTCGCGGCAAAGATTCTGTCAACTTCACGAGGTTTGTGAGTACAGACAAAGACAACTGCACACATATATAACGCTATTTATTTGCTGTCGTTACAAATATTTCATTGCAAGGCCTAGTATTCTTAGAGACACAGATCGACGTATTATGGCAAGACCAAAAACTCGCGAGACAAATACAGCTACACTTTGTCACTAAAACACATCCTCGACCCCTTTCAGAAAAAGAAGTTCACGGAAAAACTTTAGGATTAGCTGTCGGTGGAATATCCGCATAAAACCTCAAGAAACGTTTCAGTAGAAAACTACGAATCATTTTCCAAGCAGCCTACGAAGATGTCTTTTCGTCTTCATGTTGTACACAAGACCCGATAACTACTGCCCGCCAAACATATTACCAAAAGGCATACCACCCGGAAACCCGGCTCCGCTCCCGGGGGGAGGGCCGGATCCCGTGGGACCGAACTTCTTCGCCAGTTTAACAAGAATCTTTTTCACTTTAGGATTGTCTTCGTATTTTGAGAGGTTTTCTGGATTTTGGCTGACATCTTGAAATGCTGCCATTACTTCGGGATCCTGAAAGTAGAAGAAACCAGAATATCCAAGTGTGTCCATCTGCAGCGAACACCAGAAAACAAACAAACGAAAAAAAGACAAAGATCGGATTGTACTGTCACTATAAGTACATAATGGCGGTTTTTAATTCCCAGTCCAAATCAGGTACAACGTAAGGTTTTGAGGAAGGCTGGAGAAGGCGCACGTACACTGTATAGCGTACGGCAAGCCACGAAACCCCAACAGTGATAAGAGGCTTGAGGTAACATTGCTACCTTAGCAAGAATTCGCATGGAGCAAGGTACACCTTCGAAACGAGAAAGTAGTGCTCACTACTTCCCCCCGCCCCCCCTCTCCTACGGGGAAGGGTATTGTTTAAAAGGTGGGCGGTGCTATCCACTGTATAACCTAATTGGCTGCCACAACACCTGTAAGTTAAAGTGATTCATCCGGAGTGGGTGATAACGCTATCCAAATCTTGAACAACCGGAACCAGCTAGAGTTTGCTTTCTTTGCTAAACCCAACGAAATTCGGAGTCCAGGATCAAGTTTCTGGGCCGGGTTGTTCAAAGCTGGGTTAAGATAACCCAGGCTTACCGCGAAATTCGAATTCAGATATGAAGGATTCAGAAACAAATTCCGTTTACTTCTTTTTCTCTTCATTTTGATGCTTTAAAGAGAACAGGGGAAATTATTCGAGAAAATGCTTTTGAACAAAAGTACATGAAACCCGGACTAAAATTTAACCCCGAGTTAGCGATAAATTGGCCTTCGAACAACTGGGCCCAGATATCTGTTGTAGTTTTAATTTTTTATCTCAATTAATCTTTATTTTTTATTGTTTTTGAGTATCATGGTAATGTATGCTAATGAATTTGAAACAAAGGAAAAATAAAAATCAACTGAAATAAAATATTATTATTAACTGCAACAAATATTATAAATATTATTATTAACTGCAACATATCCAAACACGACAAATAAACAAAATCTCCACACTCAGCCAAAATGGATTTGATCACGACAAACCTGAAATGCTTCTAACAGCTCTGGATCGCTTAAAAGGTCATTTAAGTTGGGTGTTGCACCACCTGAGAAAGAAAAAAAGATCCACAACTTCAGCAATCAGACTTAGAGTCCACATGTTCCTTCTTGACCTAGCTGCGCTTTCTGCGAGGAGCAAGTGAAACTAACTGTGATACCCACAGCCGCTGATGAAAAACAGCCTCCCATTTCTGAGGTCAATAAATTCCCAGAGCTCAGTTTCTTAAGCAGATTTGAATTTCCCAGGTCACACAATAGTATCAGCCTTGCAAAAAAACCTTTAAGAAGTAGGACTTCGTCATAGGTGTTCGTCATTTTTTCCCCCGTTGGTAGATGTACACGATCTTTTATGTCGTCTGTACAGTTTAAAAACGTGAAGGAGTTGGGAAACAGCAGTTTTTAAATACCTCCTGCTCCTCCAGCACCAGTGAATCCCCCAGCACCTCCGGGGAATCCTCCTGCACCACCGGGGAAGCCCCCAGGGAATCCTGCCGCACCGCCGGGGAAACCACCAGGAAAGCCCCCTGGGAAGCCACCAGGCATCTCTTGTTGCCGCTTTTGTCTTTCTTCTTCTTCCTGTAAAGTGAATATTCAAAATTGAAAAGCAACCATTAGAACTTGTTAAAAAACAGACAATAACGTTAATGCCCATCTGAATTTACCTTTCTTGCTTTTTCTTGCGCTTCTTTCGCTTTTTTTCTAAAATGGAAAGAAAAACGTTCCACGTATTTTTAGTAAATCATGCCATCGATACACCACAGTAATTGCAGGTGGTTCTGGTGTGAATGGTTGATAAAGGCAAAAGCAACCATCATGTTTTCTTCTAAGTTTATCTTGGTCAAACCACTCTACAAAGGCCACCTTGGGACGGATGGATGTAGTGGTCTAATGTAACAAATATCTTTAAGGAATATTGACACATAATATCCAGTCAATAAAACAGTGGGGCCAGGGCTGCAAAACAGCCTGTACTTTCCGTTGGTCAAGAATGCGCGAATAGGAAAGGACTGGAGCCGAAAATGCTAGTCTCCAGTATGCAGCCGTTTTTTCTTTGCGTGACGACACGAAGAAAACTGCGTAGGAGATAAGGGAGGGGCTCTCGTTGGATGAGGTTCGAATGCAAAATCAAATTTCAACCCTCCCCCCTCCTCCCTTAAAAAAAAGTTAAACCACAAAATTTCCATAACTAAAAGTGCGAGGGCATTCTTACATTCTATCCATTCGTTCCTTTTCTTCTTTGTCTTCCTGTTTCCTTTCATATTTTCTTCGGTGCTCAGTAAGAAGGTGTGCCTGGGAACACAATATGCAAAAATAGCATTGGTAAAAAGATAGAGGCAACAAAGGCTGTTGGCTGATTGACATTACCATGTACGGCAAGCATTCACACCAAATTATTCTGAGATTTTACAAAGAAACAAATCATTGCGGGGGCTTCTACATGTACAACCATCCTGCATGTTCAGTAAGGATATACCACATTTATGGTACAAAAAAAGACAGCTTAGTCTTCTAGTCATGGAGGTAGTGACAAAGAAAATGGCACCAAAAGGAGTAAAACGGACTTCTGCTCTATCAAACTTCTTTACATAACAATCATAAAATGAAGTAGTTGAGGGGGAATTGTCCCTATATTGACGCAAAATTTTGCCTTCAGACTGTAAGGTCGTAGTAATTTGGCATCAGAAACACAAACCACTATTGTTGTATTAGACTTGTAAACAACATTTTGGGTTTTGCTGTCACTCATAATCACAAATAATGACTGCACCTTAGGAGTAACTTCTTTAAGCCACTCATTAGCTTGATCATCATAGTCAAGTTTGCAGGCCATGCCAAGATCCTTAGCGGCCTCTTCCCAGTGACCCAAGAGTCTACAAGAATAAAATTTATTTATGGTCTGATGAAAGAAAAGAAAATACTGCTAGTAAAAAGCAAGAACTTTGAGAAACTTCTAACGAAATGTTTAAGCCCTCAAGGTAACAGTAGGTTCCTCCATTTTTAAACGACAGAGCCTTTAATTCAACAGTGGCTTTAATTCAAAAGTCAGTATAACTGATGAAAAGAAGTGCAAGCACAATAACCTGTGGGCCCGTCCTCTCCACTTGTAAGGCTGGGCGGAGTCTGGGTTGATCTTGATTGCTTCATTACAGTCTCTGATTGCTGCATTTGGCTTCTGCATTCTAATAAAACAGCTGGAAAAGGTTTGGAGCAAAAGAATAATAATAATAATAATAATAATAATAATTTAACTAATTATTGGTCAAATTGTAAAAATGAAGAGAAATGGAAAAATTAAATGTCCAAAATACACACAGAATACTTTTAGTAACTATACCTTGCTCGTTTAGCATACATGCTGGCAGTTGTAGGATGTTTTAAAATGGCTTCTGTGAATAGTTTAGCTGCTTCCTCAAGATTTCCTATTCAAAAATAAAAATTATTATTATCACACAACAGACAGAACAAATGAGAAGTATATCTGAAACATCCACTACACATAAACATAAGAATGTTGCCCTCCAATTATATTTCCAAAGACCAAATTTAAAAAAATAAACATCTTATACAACTAACAGCCTGTGTTCCACCAGGCAGAGGCTTCTTAAAAAAAACTTTCTATCACTTCAAACCTTCACTCATGGCAGCCATTCCTTGACTTCTTTTTTCAGATGCCTCTTCTCTCATCTCATCAGTAACCTAGGAAGAAAAAAATCATATCAGTAATTTGGTTTATTGCAGATAGAAATTATTTCATTCCTAAATTTATGATATTATTGATTTGAGAAACTAACATCAGAAAATGAAATATCACTACAATTAATAAGATAAAGTAATTATTGATTCACAACAAACTGTTCCCACATGACTATAGTTGTGGTATTGTCAATGAAAGCTGTAAATCATTAATTAAACATGCACACAAGTTGGTTCTAACTTCGAATGACTGAGGTTGTAATATTTAACTGCATGTCTCAGTTCTTCATAACTGTCATAACCTTGACTAATTAAATAATTTGGATGCTAAAACAGCACCGAGAATGTTTCAATAGTAGAATAGGTCTGGTTCGAAAATCCGCCTGCCATGACTACACAGAACACAGAACTAGACAAAGTTTCATTTTAGACTGATAACTCACACTCATTGTATACAGCACACTTAAAAAAATGTTGCTGTGTCAAAATCTTATCCGGCAGCCAACAGCAATGTACTAGAAAACCAAACTGCCTAACCAAACTGAGATTCAAACACTGCTCTTCTGTGGCCCTACCTAATTCAATAATCAATAATTTAGGTTCAGCACATCAGCAGGGTAGCATATTTTGAACAAAACTTTGATATTAACTACACGTTATTAAGCATGTATTTTGAGGTTGATGTAAAGTGGTAGTACATGCATGAGATTACTAGGTGAATTTTGCAGGAATTTTATTGTTAATTATTTATTAAGTAACTCATTATTTACTTCAATGCTTGCATCTCCCATCTGCTGAGGTTCATCATTGTCTGGCTCAATACATCCCTCCCTGTCAATCTCTGTTAAAATAATAATGTTAAAATACAGTATTATTATAAAAAAAAATTTGGTACAGTTTAAAATTTACAAACAGATGCTTATGTAACAATATAATTAAACCTTAACTACAGAGGTAAACAAGAGGGCATAAGTAAATCATTTTATAAGTCAAAATCAGTAATTAAACATTTCTTTATTTATTTATTACTACCTGACTGAATAAATAACATGTAAAATAAACAAAGAAATGAATGAAAAAGTATCACAATTCAACAAAATGGTTATAATGCATTTAACCAATCCAGATCAAATTTGTATTTGGAAATGTTGGTTTTTGAGGAGAGGGGAAACAAGAATTCTTGGAGTATAATCCTCTCTGAATAAAGATGGAAACCAACAACAAACATAACTGATGGTATAATTATTGCAAGGCTGTGCTTTAAGAAAAAATGGAAGGAGCTCAGTGCTTTGTGCCCGTCAAATCCAGGGCCAGGTGCAGTGCTCATCATATGAAAAAAATAATATTTAATCTTTTTTTATCTGCCTGGGAGCAATAAATTAGCTACAGTGTAGGTGTCCAGTGCCACCAGGCACTACTAAACTGCACAGCCTTGTATTCTGGGATTTCTGGGATTTGAACCAGGGCCACATTAATGGAGGCTCATTAAGTCTACATGAATTAAAGGAAACGAAGGAACCCTCCTTGATTAAAAGAAGGTGAAATCCTAAGAAAGCCCTTTCAAATTATTGCTACGCTGAACAGCCACATGACAATTAAGTTACAGAATATTGTGCTTTGAACTCTTAATCAGTCCTGTACATATACATTGTACATGTAGAAGTATTAAAGCCTAATTGACTTCACACACTGACCCACATCACTCTCTTCACTTGAACTCTCCATTGCCTCTTCTGTTTGTGCCTCCTAAGAACAATTTAATTTATAAAAGATTTTACATGCATTTGAACCCTACAATAATACTGCCATGCCTTCTTAAAGGATATAATTTCATTAACTTCTGTTAATGATAATTCAATTATTTTTAAAGTGACATTCAGATCCATTTATCAGGGCTTCTGATATTACAATATATATGTATGGTAGGTGCACACAATATTATTGACCAATTATTCCACAAGAAACATCATTAATGAATAATAAAAAAATTGCATAATCTGGGGGAGTAAACTAATTTAAGACATAATTTTAGGCTGATAAACTACTGTGAACCTTCAATGATAAAAACAACTAAATTTTGCATAGGAATTGTCTTCAATTTCTCATGGGATGACTGCAATACACAAGAGAAATTGGAGACAAAAGCTATATATGGAAAATTTATTAGGGAAAACAAGGTGTATAAATATGGACATTTGCAAAAATGGTGAATAAAAATTTTGACAAAAAATGGGACACCCGGGAAATGTTGCATATCATTGGCATTTACTTGAATAAGGGCTGCACTGCTTATTAAATTTTTGAACCCTTCAAATGCAGCACTTATTCAAGGGCAGCACTTATTTGAATGCAACATTTATTTGAAAGTTACATGTAACAAAGAATTGTCTCAAGTAAATCGTATTATCACTTTTAGTATAAAACTGACAGAATAAACGTCTTAGTTTGATTTTGATTGAACAGGTGCCACAGCACTGTCTTATTCAGGGGCAGCACTTAACACCTTTTTTTGTACTAAATGCGACACTTATTCAAGTAAAGACGGTGTTTTCCAAAATTTTTTCCACTCTATCAGGAGGTTTGAATTAGCTGTTACCTCTTTAGGCTCTGGTTCAGTCATTGGTTCATCTTTTTCTGGGGTTTTTGCTTCTTCAGTTGGTTCAGGTTCTTTTGGTTTCTCTGGTGGTGGAGGGATATTGGCACCCAAACTACAATACAATCATTTGAATGAAAGAAATGACAGGTGCTCATTAATAAGGGGGAAAAAAAGTTAAGATGTGTCTCGTCTGTGTGGTGACTTAACGATAACTCGACGGGATTTTACTTCTTGGTCCCTCGTTGCCTCGACGAGTACAGATTCAATCACACCATTTTTATTTTACTCAACCCTTGAAAAAATAAAATCATTCATCCAAAGGGATCTGTCAGGTATTTTATACATGTGGCAAAATTGTCAGTCTTCACATCACAAAAATGAAAGTCATTATGCATCAGTCAATTCCACCTGCGCCCAGCCCCCTCCCCACCCCCACCCTGCGCTGACCCCTGGGCATTAGCATTTTTTTTGCCTTGGATGGCAAATTCCCAGGGGTGGGAACCGTTGAGCTGTCGAAAAAAGAAGGCAAATGCCCTGTCCTCCGTCAACACTGCAACCTTTTTTCATTGATCGCACAGTTGAATAGTGTCATTTTAGGCATTTTAATGTGCGATTTTTGGTTTCAATAAACGTCTTTCTTTGTAATAGCGCTGGGATTCTAATTAAGACTTCACACCGCAACGACATGCACCAGTTTATGGTTTTAGTATTGATATAAAATTATTGACATTAAAATTAATAGAGCGCTGTAAAGTTATATGTTATGAATAGTTTTATAAATATGAAAGGATGTTCTTTAAATAATAATAAACAGAAATAAGATTCAATAACAAAAAACGTTGATTCACGTTGATAGCTCCAATTTTCGCTATGTAATTCTGGCTTGATAAGCAACGAAGAAATGCATGCATAAAATCAAGAACATGCCTTTACAACCCTCTTCAATTTATTCCTGTCCTTGACAGATGAGCCGATCTGCTTTTTTTCCAGTAAAACCTTCTGTGTAGTTATATTGTGATAGGAAACCGGGTGTGTGTCAAAAGCTTGGGAATGGTCCTGGCGTTGGTTAATGCCCGGCCCCCGGGCAGTGCAAAATTTGCAATACCCCACCCCTGGGACTGACATGGCGGGCAAATGCCCCGCAGTGGCCTGTGGGGGGGGGGGGGGGGGGGGGGGGGCGCGGGGGGAATTGACTGATGCATTATCTCCTTCCTTTGTCAAACTTGAGATCAAATGACCCATTTCGGAAACTCACGATTTTGTAAATCTCTAAAAGAGGAGAGGAGCCATTAAAAAAATCCACTGAAAGCTTGTAAAATTTAAAACGCCAAACAATGACTTTGACAACCCACCTTACCCCCACCCCTAGAGATCGGTTACTTCCGCTTCCTTGCGAGCTTACACCAGGAGCTCTGTGTTGATTATATCCAAGAGGGAACAAATGCATGTATTGCTTAAAGTCGGCTCTTCTAAGTTTCATCACAATATTTCAGACAAAAGAATATGTACATAAAGATCGTACGATAAGTAAAATAACTCTGCCTATGTTTAACCATGTTTTACGTTTTGAGCAGCCCTTTGGCCTCAAATAGTCACGTACACTAGACCCAAACTTGGATAAAATCATTAAAACCATGATAGCGACAATAACATATATCCCTTATTGACCGAATTGTTTCCCTGTATTGCCCTTCTTATAAAACGTGAGGGTCTTTCCACACACAAGGTGTTACATACATGTACGTAGATGCGAGAACACAAGGAGAGGCACGTGCCTACATCGCTTCTCGCTTCTTTCCTACCTCTCAAGCCAGTCTCTAAAAAACTTCAGCTGAGGAGCATGCAGTAGGTCTGGCTTTTCCTTACATAAATCCACGAACTGCTTAAGCAAAGAGAGCTGGAAATTATCAAACTTTGAGGCCATCTTCGCCTCCAAGAGTGTAGCCTTCACTTCGCTTACTAAGTTGGGTTAAAAAGCTTTCCCATGATCCTTTGCGCCAGGCGTGTAACTTCGTGTACGTGGATGCAATGCTTCCTTTTGGTAAAATTTTCGCGATCCGTTACTGTCAAACAAAATCTTTTTTGAGGGGACGCAAGGAGAACCGTCACATTCCGCAACACTTCATCTCGTCTTTTATTGTCTGTCGCGTTGTCGAACAGCAAGGTAGCCTGATTCGATGGGCTCCCTGTGGGCTACATATTAAACGGCAGAAAACTACGGAAAGTATTCAGTTCATAGTGTCAGTTGGTGCCACTGATGAGCAGATGAGTAAAGCGTGTTTCACTGTCCCTCTGAGCAAGGGGGTTTCAGTGGGCTTTACTGTTATTAGTAAAAGAACCAATAACAAATTTAATATTGGTCATAAAAAGTTGACCGTCATTTTTTCTGTTTTTTTTTTTTTAGGGAAGAAGCTTGTTCGGCCTTCGTGACTTGCACTGTCTCGTGGCTGAGGGCTCAGGAGCACCCAACGACTGTTTTCTACGAAATATCTGTTCGGAGAAGCAAAAATTGCCTAGAATTTTCTATTGCTTAAGGAAGGCTAAAAACTTTGAGATGACCGTACCATTCATGTACAATTTTCGAAGCTTATCTAATAAATTCCATACGATCATGTAAACCTTAATTTTTCCCATTTCACTCCCCAGGTTATCGGAATCGAAAATGCGATGCAGAGAGGAATCAGAAAACTATCACTTTCGTAAAACTTTAAATTGCAGCTAAAATTTTCGGGAAA